ATACATATATATATACATATATATATATATATATATATATATATATATATATATATATATATATATATATATATATATATATATATATATATATATATATATATATATATATATATATATATATATATATATATATATATATATATATATATATATATATATATATATATATATGAGTGTATGTGTGTTTGTGTGATATAATAGACTATAATTAATGCAGTAATTTGTGAAATCTACTGATATTTTAGCGTTGAATAATTTTTTATTACATTTCGCAATATTTCGAACCAAATTCTTGTCGTCATTATTTATTTTATTAAAGTTGGAATGATATACAGTTTTCCAATTCCTTCTCGAGTGGCTACGGTTTTAATGTTAATTTCAATGTGTGCAGATTTTTTAAATAAAAACAAATGTTTACTACAAAATAACAACTATGATAATTACAAAACACGCCATCGATAATGACTGATGTAGTTGAAATTTACATCCCCCTACTCTCTTTCTCTGTTATATCACTTGCCCAATTCATCACCATCTCATCCTTAAAATCACCATCCTAGTTAGTCACCAGTATCATCATATTTACTGTCGTTACGTCCTCCTCATCATCATCTTAATCGCAATCATCAGAAAATTTCAACAGATGCAGTTAACCTTTATCTCATACTCCTACTTTCTCTATAATAATTCATTTTCTCTTCATATTATCATCATCTCATCATTGTCTTCATCTTGTTTATCGAAATAATTATATTTAATATTTTATCAGTATATCACCATTACAATCATCTTCCTAGTTACCAGCATCATCACATTCACTGTCGTTACGACGCCCTCATCATCATCTTCATCGCAATCGTCAGAAAAGTTGCCTCCACCAATTTCAAACAACCATTTCAATTCATGCAATTTGTTCAAAATGTCTCTACAACCAGAAAATTATGTTAACAACAATAATGACACTTTCATTGAAAAGGAAGAAAACAGCAACAGCATTAACAACGTTGACAAAAACATTAAAACATTCGGTGACATCAAAAATATAAATGGCAGCAACAATACAAAAGATAGCATTACTACGGATTGTGAAAGTAACAAAAACAATAATGCAAACTCATCTATTAATGGTAATAGTAAAAATAAAATTACTGATAATGGAAATACTTCAGTGGGTAGTAATTGTTGTGATGTGATGTTTGGTAGGTGGAAAGAATGGAGATCGTCGAGGAGGTTGGTTCTCTTCATTGTATTCGTTGCCCTTCTTCTCGACAGCATCCTGCTTACTGTTGTTGGTTAGTACTAGGAATAGTATTTAATTTTTAAATTAACAAATATTTTATTTATCACTTAAATAAAACCAATTAGCTTTTCCTTTTTTATTTATAACCTTTAATCAGTTTTATTTCATTATTTTCATTTATATTTTTTAATAAAATAATTAAAATTTTCATCAAAAATGAAAATTTTGTAGGATATAGGAAAATAAAAAAAAACTTGAAGTTATTGATATGAAACTATGTCGAAACTAAAATATCATTCAGTTCCGATCATCCCTGACTTCTTGCACAATCTCAAACAAATGGAATTGGCGAAAGAAAACACATCATCATCATCCTCATCTTCATCATCATCTACTTCATCGCCATCATTGAACAATACATCTTTTCTGAATATGGACGACGAAAACGTTGCAGTTGGTTTATTGTTTGCTTCAAATGCGGGTGTCCAATTGATATTCAACCCGATAGTCGGTCCGATAACGAACAGAATCGGTTACAGCATACCGTTTTTGACCGGTTTTGTCATCATATTCGTTTCGACCATATGTTAGTAATTACTTAAGCTTTTATGCTAAAATAAGATAAAAAAATTTATTTTTTGGGTATCACTCATTCCATTGCATGCACATTATTAGGCGAATCTGCAGTTTGAATTTGGAAAACCAAAGTTATATTTTTCATAAATTTGCATGATTAATTTGGATAATATTTCTAATTTCAATGAATTGAACAATTCATAGATAAAATTTATAAATATTCAACAAAGGACCACTGGCGTTCTACCATCCCATTAAATTAAAAATCAACTTTACCGAGACAACACACAAGGAGATACAAAGAACTAATAAAAAAAAACTTTAATTCACATAAGAGATACAATGAACTCGTAAAAACTTTATTAACATAGGAACAAAGTAAAAACTTATATAAAGACATAAACAACACGAAAATTAACATTAACATTAATAATGGAAATATGAATTTCCGAAAAAAGCTTTTCTGTTTTAAAAATGAACACAAATTTTGTGTGTGAGTTAAATAAACTTAATAATCCACTAAAATTCATCGTTAGAAAGATTGAAATATTAAATAGAAAATTAAGCAAGGCTGAAAATGCTGTGACTTTCCTATACAACTGTATATCTGATAGTCTGATAGCTTCTTGTTTAGTTTTTCAATTTTTTTAAACAGGCAGCTAACTAACACGCAACATGCTGTGATTTCCATCAATAATATATATATATATATATATATATATTTTACAATATATATATATATTGTAAAAATTATGGTCTATTATCAACATATAGACGCAATGTTAGCGTTATATACCAACTTCTTTCTATACACACCTGTCTAAAATGGTTTTAAAATTTTATAAAAATTGTTGATAACTATAAATATGTTTAATTATTTAATTTTATGTTTAACCATTTTTAAACGTTCTTTACATTATTACACTATTATTGTCAACATTTAATATATAATTTAATTTCATCTTTATAATATTTTATATCTTCCTTATTTATCTCATTACACTGATTTTAATATTTTAATATTATTCACAATAATATTCAGCTCCATCGATGACTAAATAGCCGAAACAGCGATGTATTCAAGGATGTATG